TCTAACACATTATAATTCCAACTTCTGGATATACAAAGCGGTGGATATAGCCTAGAGGGTCAAGATGTATGCAACCTTACAAATATAAAATACTTAGAGACTATAGTTGTTAGACCCATAATGCATTGCTACATTTACTACCCAAATCTTCATTCAAAGTAAAAAAGCAAAGAAAATGTAACCTACCATTTTGATGTAGTCCACTATTTATAATTGTCCAAAGGTTGTTGCTAAATTCACTCTTCATTTGGCTATATTCACCGCTTTGTATATGAAATGGACAGGTTTGCCCTTATGATCCGTTTGGTGAGTTGTAGATGCATGATATGATATAGGTTCTTAAATTTGAGAGAAGTGATATGCATTTTGAAATTTCAAAAGTGTTTGGAGATTTGAAATCATGATTTAATTAAAAATAAGTCGTAGAATAAGTCGTGGGGGAGGGAGGCTCGCATTGCAGAGTAAAAAAAAACAAAAAGTCAATCCCAAGTTAAACAGAAAATGTGAGTTTAATATTCATGCTAACAAACCTCTCTCCTCCCTCCATGAGAGTGAGAGAAAATGGTTACTATAGTTAGGCAGGCATCAGGTTGACTTTAGAACAGAACAAACGATTCCAGCCCTTACCCATTTAAAAATAAACCCATAACTATACTCGAGACCTGCCAGATCTACCTTACGCTTACCCAGATCTACTTTCATGATTGAAAATCTAGAAAATCTGAAAACTTGCACCTAAAATATGAAAATCTTAATCTACCTACAAAAGAAACTGAAAGAAAATGCACAAAAGGCTAGGATGAATATTTTTGTAGAAAATTAATCCATATACCTTTGTTCCAAACCCTAGCACGGAATCAACAAATCGCCCTAGTGCTCGGATCCTTCTTACGAAAAGAACGACATGCTACCAATGATTTTAGACACCTTTCGATGGATTAGGTGGTAGAGGACGCCTACCCGCTTTATCATTCTTTTGGATTAAAATTCAAACTAAAATTGTAATTGGAGCTATGTACATACCCGGCCTGCAACAGCCTTAGTCTTAGAAAGATCTAATCGTGACAGATGAAACTATGTTCAAAACCTTAGCCCAGGTCCGGCGAGAAGTGAGAAGCGGAGAAGGAAAGATGATCTGGTGTAGAAGCGGAGAAGGAAAGACATTAGCGAAACCCTAGGCAAAAGCAATGTTTTGAAAACCGGACCGGACATCGAACCGGACAAGCCACTGGGTCAAGAGTCAACCGGTCGAACCGGGTTGACTCGTGATGGGAAATAATACGTGGCTCGGCCCACATTTCCTAATTATTTACGAAGAACAGTCAAACCGGACCTGTTTAATAAAATGGGAAAATAAGAGAATATTCCCCAAATATGCTTCCCCTCCTCCCCTATAAAAAGAAGGTTGCCTCAATTGTGAAGGGGGGCCAATTTCACTCCTCTCCTGCTAGTTTCTCTCTCTAGATATTTTAGAGTATATTTTCCCTTCTTCAAGAGCTTCTAGCTCTACCATTAATGGCTTCCGAGCCCAACTCTTGTATCATGTACACACCCCCGATATTAATAAAAATCCCCCGCTGGCAAGGTACCGCCAAAAAAGGCCCGTGGTTTTCTCCCGATTTGGGTTTCCACGTAAAAATCCCCGTGTTTATATTTTGGTGTGTTTTTAGACTAGTTTATCGTTTTTACCGGTTAAAAACGATATACCGGTCGATAATTTACACCATCATTTTGGCGCCATCCGTGGGACCTGAGCAAAAGGTCATGATTTTCTTTAGTGCTCTCATCTTGTTCTTTGAAAAAGATTGAAGGAGATGGTGCTCAACCAAAAAAAAAATCGAGGGAGAGAGCCTTGTTTCCAAACGGATTTTGATTTCCAAAAAACAATCAAAATGTTTTGTTATTCTACCCATGCGAAAAAAGAGAACAGGAGAGAAAAAAATGTTTGGGCCCAAATACCGGCC